ATAGGGCTCTATCAACAGGGGGCCATAAACAAATCTATTTATAAAGAAATATTAACAGAAGAAAAATGTCTCGAGTCAACACTGGAGTACCCAAATGCACGAATAGTTCCAGGTTTTCTAATATCTTTCTTACAGAAGAGCATTCCTATTAAGTAGTAAGGCCGTTAAATTTGCCATTTCTTTAATATATCAGGTGTTGTAAGGTGTAAAGTCTCTGAATTCAAAGACCTTACACCTTACAACACCTGATATTTTACAAACCACAGACCTTTCAACACCTCGTATCTTACTATTTACTTTACAAAAGGATCATCAATAAAAAAATGAGTAATTGTATTTGATTATTTTAGTGTTTTTTATTGTCCTAAACAGTAAAGACCTAAAAAAATACAAAAAGTAATGTAATTTCTTCATGTATCTACAACAAAGTAAAAGAAAACTCTGTAATATATGAAATTTATACTTTTCAATGTAATATAAATGTCCTAAAACGAAATGAAAAGCTTTCTTTTTATAATAACCAGTGTCACGCATGTATAATTAATAATACTGTAGATGACAGGTATTGAAATACATCTAATAAATTAAAAAAATTTACATATCTAATAATAAATCAGGTATTGGTAAGCAGAGATTCTCTCACTCCCTTTCATTTTATTTAAAAAACTCCTCTTATAACTTTAAAAAAACAAACATTTAAAAGCATAAACGTTTAAAAATGCAGAAATGTTTAAATTTTTATAGAACATTCACTCTTTTTACAGATCAATAAAGCGAAAATATACCTTTCAACACAATTAAATTGACGATATTGATACTAGAAACGATAGGCATTAAAGATATTTACGTATCTAAAAGTATTTTAGAAATACTAAATTAAATATTAATATTTAATCCGTGTGTCTGTCCGTTACTTATGAAAACTTGTGATTTTTTTTTACTTATCTGAATAATATAATACGTTTTATCACAAATAACAAATCAAGTATTGATATACGATACATTAAATTTTAAGGTAATGCGAGGGAGTGTTTGCAGAGGTGAATTCTAATATTAGAAATCTTTTGTCAATACTCTCTTCTATCATCTAAAAAATTTAAATGTGCTGTTTTTTACATCTTAAAAGACACAAATATGACGACAGGAATCGAGAAACAGCGTATTGATAATTTACCTGTATTTAGCTGGTGTTTTATTCATAATTTACCTGTATTTAGCTGGTGTTTTATTGATAATTTNTCGTTCATATTCAATCGTTCATCTTCAATCGTTCTTCAATCTTCCATCTTAAATCGTTCTTCAATCAAGTGCTAGAAAAAACAGAATAACAAGTAAAATTTATCAAAAGTAATATATAAAATTGTAAGAAACACAAATAAAAAGGAATTTTCTAAAAAATTCTCGTGTTACACAAGTTAGTAAAGTTGAGAAAATCCTTCTCGCAGCTTACAAAAAAGATAAAAAAATTGCAGAAAATCTGCTGTAAGGTCGTGACATTGATAGAATGTAAGACGGAAGATAAAAGTCAGAATACGTGGAAGGAGTAGCAGTAACAGAAGAATTATGAACACCGGACATAATAGCCCAACTAACTTTAGATTACATTCGAACTAGACTTGTCAAAGTTTTGCTTTTAATCCTAGAATAAAGGATAGCCGATTGCAGTGGAAAGGATTTAAAAGGGAATGGGACGAGTCATTTGTTAAATTATTAAAATGCCTTAAAATAGAATTAAACACAGAGGACTGGGAAGATAGAAATGAAGATAAAATATATTATTTCTGGTGTCGTAACGATAGATAAATGGTGTAATTTATGTGATAAATTTTGTATTAGTATGCGAGAAAGGAGCAGGAAAAAGATAGGGCCATCACATATTACTTGATACGTCTGCCATTAAGGTGTGGAGGTAAATGGCATCCGAAGAACCGAAAGGAAACAAATTATCCGAAACAAAAAGGGAAAAAAACCAAATGATATTAATGGTGTGTAGTTATGGATAATGTGTGATGAGTTGGAATTAATCAATGGTTTGCTATGAGGGGAAAGAAACTCGCACTGAGATTAATATAATGATAACGCGGCTGATTTTCGTATTCATAACTGGTTTAATGACGTAAAGGAAACGTCACAATTGTATGTTTGTTTACGCGATAGCTTCGTTGATTATTATTTTAAAGTTTTATTAGTGGAATTTTTACAAAATGTCCCGTGTTATCGATCAAGGACGGCGTGTTTAAAGATGAGATTGGCTACGGCGATGTATTACGTTACGAAATGAATTATACAGAAGCGAAATCTTATAGAGTAGAAGAAAAAGAAACATGGAAGCAATGGAAAATTATTTAACTGGGAATCTCCAGTCTTTAATGTACTGGAAAGGAAAGAAAATGTGGAGAAGAGTTCGATTAATGTCCCGAAAATAGATTGATGATACGTTTAGAAGTTGCGTGAAGGGTAAACAATGGAATATCGTCAAACACAAAAAGAAAATTCACAATACGATTACATTCGGTTGCCATGTTTCCTTTCCAGATCAAAATATAAAGTATAACAATTGTATTCTTACACAAATCTCTGCTGGCACCTTCGCCAATAGAGAAATTCTTATAGAACTAGTAAGAAACTGCATTAAAATTACAGTAGAAATTCTGTTAACCGGGTAATGCTGAGTAGGCGAGTTTTCGGATAATCGAACAGAGCAGATAATACAGCGTATAAGTGAAATATCTTGTACTAAAAATACAGAAAATCCTTTACACGTAGTAATAACTCCTTACTTTTTGATTACACTGGCATATTAAAAGTTAATTTCTAAGCTTTGCGGTTAGCTTTATCGTAACAGCTTGTACAAGGTCGATCAATAATGCTTTTTTAGTCGCAGTGTCTTGATAAAATACGAAACAAGTGGCGTATTATTACGTAGATAAAACTATTGTTACAATTGAGAATGTTTTTTTATTAATAGAAAAACCAGTGTAGCAGACATAACACGATTTATTCCTGACGTCTAATAATCGATTTTCTTGCAGCTTATTTCTCTAAGACAGCTTTCATATTAAGAATATTTTTTTCATAAATAATATAAATGTATTATTTATAAAGTAAAATATACATTCGTTCGTGCAGTTATTTAATAAATATATAGAACAATCTCGAGAGAAAACACGTTGTATGTTTAACTAATCCACTGTGTGACATGTACTTAGTCACAAGATTAAGCGCGATTACTTCTTGTTACATTTTGCACTTAGTCAACTCTTAAGAGGATAACAGGAACGAAGATTTGGTGGTGTAAAAAATTACTACTTTGAACTTTTTCTACGGTTTACACTGAATATTTCAATAATATTTACCATCGCTCTACTGAATACATCAATAAATTCCACTGTGCCCTGAAGGAAATGTTTTGCTAGTAGTTGACCAATGTAATTGGGGTTATCTTCATTATGTATAGACAAAAAGGTGCTCCAATTAGATATATACAAAGAAGATAACTCGATCTTCTTAGTATCATTACTTGCAAAGGTTTTGTCATCTGAAAATGAAGACGAGTGAAGTAATTTATTAACTCTAACCTCTAAGCCTGTTTATTTAACTTCATAACAAGAAATCTTTGCTCTCTTATCCCTATATACACTTATATATAAAATTTAATATGAGGTCAAGTTGTAAGTTCACTCATAAACGTCACGACTTTCGAGTGTTTATTAAATAACTCGTGGTGTTGTCGTGTTCCTAAGTGTTTTATATCGTATATTATATTAAAAAAAATAAATAAAGGGCAGTTATATAAGTGTAATAACGTTTCGAGTACACCACTTAATCGCGGTATTCTCAAAACTCCAAGTATTTTTTTATTCATTTCGAAAATTCCGAGATGATAAATCACCTTGGAGAGAAGAATTGACCACCTCTTATGTATTGTGACAGTTCTCCTCAGTAGCAAATAGCAGTCAGTTTGGATCAATGATTTGTTGGTTGCTGCCGAGAGCTACTGTCAAAACACGTAAAGAAAAGCTAGCAAATCTTCACCTTGATTGTTTATAAGGTAACTAAAAATCTGTTTTAGATGGTGTTACCACGCTCAGAATCAAAGAATATATCAGTTTAAAGCAGCGTATTGTATCACTCAACGAAACGACCATTCTGTATGAGAAGTATGAGAGAAAATCAATCACACACGATGGTCTGTTTCCTGTTTGGGTACGTGCGTGGAGGTCACACTAACGAAAATTAATTGTGAAGGATAATGTTATTGTTGTCATTGCGTGTGGGTTAATGCTGTGTTATTTTACACGACACGTTCTGTGAGGTGGTTGAACGGAAATTGCACAATACACACTGTTAAGATTCCTAGCTTAATACAACACTAAATTATATTTACTTTAAGGAAACTTATCCCTGTAGCTGTTTATATATTAATTAGGTTCATTTATATACTTGCTGCTTGTTTAAATGTTGAAATATTGAAAAAGATAGTGTTGTTTAGAAAACGAGATGATTTGTTAGCTCGGTTAATCAACATTCGTACAATGTTATTCTTTTCTACGTCTAATAGATGCTGGCGGAGTTATGTCAACACCACTGATTAATTCTATTATCGAGTAAAAATATTTAAGTTACTATCATCTCTACAGATAAAAAACACAAGAAGATGTTGAATTTAGTAATTCCCATCTCAATATTGTTTATTTCTTCTAAATTACTGTAGGAAAGTAATTGGAAACATTGTCAATACTGACCGAGTTGAGTAATTAAGGAGTGTGAAAGGGGTGTTTTTCACACTGTTTAATTCGCCTTTATTAAAAAAATTGTGAAAAGTAGAGAAATTTAATTATCCTCTTCTTGCAAACTAGAATTTAATACGTCGCCTCGATATGCAAATGAGGAAGTTTCTCATAATAAAGTTTGGAAACAATTAAGTGTTTAAGAAAAACTTAATTTAAATTTACGTTTTCGGGTATTTATTATATTAATATGTCTTTTTTTCTTTACAGATTGATGATGAATTCGTTAAATGGGTCCGTCTTGTTGGTGGAAACTCACAATGCTTCCAACGTCACGGAGTATTCTTACATCCCGTATCATCAACGTCTGGAAACTTATATCTTGCCCATAATCTTTGCCATAATATTTTTTGTAGGATTAATAGGCAATGGTACTTTGGTCTACATATTCTTGCACAACAGGACAATGAGAAGCGTGCCAAATATCTACATCATGAGCCTCGCATTGGGAGATTTGATCGTCATAGTGGGAAACGTGCCCTTTACTAGCACCATTTACCTGTTTGATGCCTGGCCGTATGGAGAATTTATATGTAAACTGAGTGAATTTTTGAGAGATGTGTCCATTGCCGTAACCGTTCTGACACTAACTATGCTGAGTGTTGATAGATATATCGCTATAGCTCTACCAATACAGAAAGTTACCGGTAGTCACGCGAAAACACTAACTGTAGTCATAGCAATATTCATATGGTGTGTATCCGTGGCCATATCCGTTCCCGGAGCCTATTACTCCTTCCTGTTAGAAATGCGAGTTGATAACGACAAGGTTGTTTACGTATGTTACCCATTTCCAGAAAATATGTCACCCTGGTATCCACGAACAATGGTGCTACTGAAATTTCTTTCACTTTATGTCGTTCCTTTATCGATTATCGCTAGCTTCTATGTCCTGATGGCCAAACAATTGCTGAAGAGCACGAAGAACACAGTGGGACAGAACGACAGTCACACCAAACAGTTGAAGGCACGAATTAAAGTAGCGAAAATCGTATTGGTGTTTGTATTCGTCTTTGCCATCTGTTTCTTTCCCAATCAGGTGTTCCTCATGTGGTTCTATTTCTATCCCAACGCAGGAGACCACTATAATGATTTCTGGCACATTTTGAAGATGTCGGGTTACGTACTGACTTTCGTCAACAGTTGCCTCAACCCCATTGCTCTGTACTTCATTAGTGGAGTGTACAGGAAATATTACAAGAGATACCTTTGTTGTTGCCACAACGAAATTCATAAAAACACAATGGTGGTTTTCCGGACACTTCATACCACTTCTGTTAGGAACCATTCTTTGGGGACGACCATCACAAAGATTTAAAAGATTTCCTGTCGCTTGCTTATCGGTTGTGTAAACTTATAAATTAGTTTTATCGTATAAAATTGCGTGTTTATGGAGTAAGACAGTGTCTAGTTGGTAAATTACAGGGGTTAACTGTAAATGCAACAACGTTCGAAGTGTGTAAAAGAGATAAAGTAAATTGAAATAAAATACTAAACACATCACGAATCGAAAAAATTCCCTTATTTTTGAGGTGCGAAACTGTAAATAAGCCGTTATTACTGTCATATTTACTCATTTTTTACCTTATCTGACTCAAATTCAACTAATTTCATACATGAATAAGTGTAGTTTCCATCTTATTTTGACATATATAAACAAAACTAAGTCTATTTTCGACCCGTAAACAAAACATAGTCTTGTAGAAACCATAAATTGGTAGGATTTTCTTATTTTTGACACGTCTAAACCATAAATCCTTAGTACTTTTCACACGAGAAAACACAAATAGGAAGTGAAAAACAGGCTCAAATTCTTCTGTTTTTGACTTGTCAGATTGTTAAAAAGAAGGAAAATAGCCTAAAATTCACTTGTGTTTTTCTATCAGACCAACACTTTCAACTAATTTACAACACATCTAACATTTATAGAACTACCTAATGCTTATAAATGAACGTAATTTATCTCTTCTACATTCTTCCAACGTTGTTGTTACTATTTATTTATGGTTCGCTCGATAAATAATCTGCCACTTATTTTATTTTAAAGACACTTCAACAGATTATGTCAGCCTTAACTGTTTAGACTTTAAATTATTCATTAATTATCCAAAGATGAAGAAAAAAAATGGAAGAAAGTAATTGAGATTATTACAGAAGAAAGGCAGCATCAAAATAATTTTGATATTTCACTACATAAATCTATTTTATTAACAAAAATATTTAATTTTCCATTAAGAAAATCTATTTTTGGACAACATAATTATGAAAAATGTGGGAAAATTTCCCATTCAAGTAATCAGTGTGTTGCTGTAATTATGCCAGTACTGCAGTATCTTTCAACATCTTTGTATATATTAAAATATAATAATAAAACGTATTCCGCATCAGAAAAATTTGTCTGATCTCACGCTAGATATAACATATTACTCTTCGACCTTTAACCTTTAAAATTTAATAGCGTCAATGCAACTAATACGTAAACCTCCCTGCAAAATTTCGGAAATTTTCGACAAAAGGTACAGGAGTTATTAAGCTTCAAAGTGGGTGAAAAAAATCGTTTTCTCCACACACACACACACAACTCCACGTCACTCCCACTCACACTCATACACATTAACATTCATACATACCTCCACTTTTAGCATTTCTGGACATTTGAAGGACGTTCAAAAATGTAAAAATCTTGGGAGGGGTTATTCTTTGACAGATGGCCACACTTTTCCTGTGTTGTACGTAACAGAAGGGAAAGTAAAAATCTTTTCAAAGCCTCAACTCAACCATAAGTGATGAATTATTTGGTATTTTTCTGTATATCCCCGCTCTTATTATTTATTTAAACTTTATTATACTCAAGCGATCTAAAAAAAAAAACACGAAAATGCTATTCATAAACTTCCCATTCTGTCAAAAATATCTTATATTTTCTTCGCTCTACATCTTTCAGAGACAGCAGCAGACTGTAACATAAACATAAACATTATAACATTCACTTGTACACATCTCAAAAACAATATAAATACTTTATCATCAATATCAGCATCCCACTGCTCTTCCGCATCACTTCGTTTGAATCGCCCGAAAGTTTTCTTTGAAGTGGAGGAAACAATTAAAGATAAATTTTATCAGGGAAAAATCCGTGAATCGAAAAGGGAATTAATGTATTTTTTTAATCCTTTTCGGGGTATTTCTTCTGTCTTTGAAGATTATCCTGATCTTTTCTACTTTGAATTATAGCATCTTAGTTTAATTTTATCAAGGTAAAACTTTGATAAAATTTAGTAAATTTAGAAACTTTTAATGATATTTCCAGATTTATATTGAATTTTTCAGCATTCTTTCACCTTTAAATTGTATTTTTCTATCGAGTAATATAGAAGAATTGACATTCCTTTCGGGTAATTTAAAATTCCAATCCCTATAAAAGTAATAAAATTTCTTATTCTTCTGTTGTTTCTCACCTTTGTATTATCTATTATATAACAAATTAAATGTAACAGTGCTTACTCTACAAATACGCCCGATACAGGAGTATTGGTATAGTAATTCGGGGAGGTTTAAAAGTCAGTTAACCAATATGTATACTTTTTACATTTTTACCAGCTTTAAAACAGTCTTACTTTGGTTAACTGAATTTAGGGCCGCTCATATAAGTACACTACCCCACAATCTTATATTCTAACTAATTACCTTAGATTTTACAGTGTAACAAGCTATACATATGCAGGATTTAGTATACAGTATATGTTAGTTACCTGACTTTTGGACCACCCTAAATACTAGTGTTGCAGCACGTATAAGATGTATCTGTTGTAGTTAACCGATTTTTAGGCCACCCAGTACTATAATAGTATAGATATAAAAATTTTAGTAGACGAAACGACGTGTTAGTATGTTATTTTGTAAGGACACTAAAGGTAGTAACTGTTACGTACTGCTTGCAGAGCTTCTCAATGTAGATGTTATTGATAAGAAAAATAGGCATGCCTGGCAGGAAATTTCACATTAAGAAAGAGTAAAATGAAGCTGCAAATGTCGAATCGATACACGTGTTCCAAGTGGAATTCTAAAAATATAAAAGAGGGGGAGGATAACGGAATTTCTTTAAAAAATTCGATCGAAATCAGTTGTATGAATGTTAAAATTTCAGGTATTTTTCAATAATTACATAACAGAATATAGGCTACTTCTATTGTGATTTTTGAGAAGACACTTCGATTATACTGATAATAGAACACAGTATTAGCGAAAGAACTGTATATTTTTACTTCTAAAAACATCTTTAAACACGGAATATAAGAGAAAAACCCTACAAAACATGATCTTGATTTTTTAGAAGTAAAATACACATCAAAACTTAAAAATTCCGCGTGTTCTTTTAGTATTTAGTAGTAAAAAAATGCATTCGATACATCTAAAAGCATGTTTTAGTAGTGAATTTTTAGTTACAGACAGTACTTTTACATAAGAAAAAATTAAAAAATAGAAATACGATCTTGACTTCGAATTTTTTTAGATTAAGATACGAAAGATTTTCCCATTTTAGAAAGTGAAGAATACATTTTTCACATCTTTTATTGAGAAAATAGCAATCTCTGTTTACTTTTTAGCAATAAAAATGTATTCTTTACTTAAGAAAACACCTCTTAACAGCGAATTTATAGTTATAAATAACATTTTAACAAGAAAACTTCCAAAAAAAATCTCTATTCTTTAAGAAGACTTTTCATTAAATTGTTAAAATACTGTTTATTAAAGCGCTGTTAAAAGATGCTCAGTCAATTTTTTAAATTGAGGAGCATGTTCAAGGAGTAGACAACATATTTTTCATATAAAAAATAAAAAATAGCTCATTTATTACTGATAGAAAACGAGTTGAGTAACTTTCCCAGCAAAATAAGTTAATATTGTGTGTGGAGCCATCTCTTGTGAGATTTTATTTTTAAAATTTTATATTACTAATTATTGTAAAATGGCCGTAAACTTAATTTTGAATGTAGAAAAAGTTTTATAAAAAAAATCCTTAATAAGAACAGGTACAATTTTCACTAAGTCCAACACCCCTTTCTATCTCCCCACCTTCTTGACCTTTAACCACCAAAATTTAACAGCATCAATGCTCCCAATACCCAAACTTTCGTGCAAAATTTCAGACGTTTTCGACAATGGGCACAGGAGTTATTAAGCTTCAAACTTAGTGTGTTGTGTACCCACCACAAACACCAACATCAATACATACAGGAAAAGAAATCCCAAATTTTTCATGCACCCCCCGAGTCTAAAAATGTAACCTCTTAAGGAGAGTCATTTTTTGACTTATTGTCACAAACGGGGGATGGAACCTCTGTTACGTAGGCTATAACAGCGGAGAAAATAACACGCTCTTTTCTGTTACCAGGTAATTTTCGAGTATAAACAGTAAAAAAATTCCGAAAGAAATCAAGATACTATTTCTGTACCTCGACATAATGTTGAACCTCGTACGTTTCTGACACGAGGATGTATCACAGCTTAGCCAATGATAAACGGCTTAACATTCCACTTACCTGCTGTTACTGACAGATATTGCTTATTACATTCTTCATAATTCTTAAGCTTACATCTTTATATTTGATTGGACAAATCTTTTCTATGGATTCTCTTCTACGTAATTAAATTTTTTAGACGTATTGTTTAGCCGTGACGTTTACTTTTTTTGGTTACTTACATCAATCAAGATCTGTCATTTTTTAAGATAATTTACATATTTTTCTTTCTTTGATTATTATTTTTTAGAAAATAGCACGAAATAAATCATCTTACGTAATGCTGTGTTAGAAAAACACCCCCCCGAAAAAACACTTAGTTCTTGTGTGTTCGGAAGCGTAACAAATAAAAAATTGCAAACATTCGTTTCTAGAAACGTCAAAATAGAAAAAATATTCAGGCGATAATTATTTTTTCTACGCTATAATTAAGTAAATAACAGAAAACGAGACTTCTCCTTCTGTTTTTCAATGCATTTAACGAAAACAAGCAGTCGACCCCCCTATAACACTGTTGATTTTTTCCGTTTTATATGAATTCCATGTTGTACGAGTCACTTAGATTTTACAAATACGTGTGCCGGGCTGTAAACAGCTCACGTATTTGCAAAATCTAAGTGACTCGTACAACATGGAATTCATATAAAACGGAATAATCAACAGTGTTATAGGAAGGTCGACTCCGTTCACAGTCCGGCACACGTATTTGTAAAATCTAAGTGACTCGTACAACATTGAATTCATATAAAACGGAAAAATCTACGGTGTTATAGGGGGATCGACTGTATTTAGCATAAGTGCTTCCATTTACATACACAATTGACATAACTTGTACATACAAATTTGATGTACACATCTTTATTTATTTATCTGGTTATTTAGCATTTTTTATATGTATTTGGCATGAAGATTTTTAAGCACATAATTGGCATACAAACTTTTTCTTATGTACGGTACATACGTTTGCTTACGTGCATAGTTAATATACAGGTTTTATTTATGTATTTCTTTAACATACGTGTATTTATTTATATTTTCAACCAGATTTTTAACCAGAGTATACATAAACATTTAATAAATATAACTGAGCTTAAACATATAAATGTGACTGAGCTTGAATATATAAATATAACTGAGCTTAAACATATAAATGTGACTGAGCTTGAACATATAAATATATCCAAGCTCAGTCATATGAGATCAGAGTTTATGTACCGTTTATAACTGACTTCTTACAAGTGAAACCATCAATAAAAGAAAATCAGTAATGGCATTTCTCTAATTACACTTTTTTCAGTGTTTTTAAATAAATAAAATTAAAAAGAAATGCAAACGTTTGACAGAAAACATCAAGTTTAATTATCTTCCTAATTAATTAACAACAATACACGAAATTAAATGTAAACTCTTTCAGTTTATAAGACATTTAAACACTAAAGATAATTTAATTAGCGGAATTTTTGAAACGTCACACTGTGTGAATTACTTCTTATATCTTGAATTTATGTTTACAATTAAATTTACACGTATATTTATTTACACGTGTGCAATTCTAATAAACATAAATCAAAAAATTGTTTCTGTGTTACATGTATTACACTTGTAAATCACATAAATGCAGCTTCCTGTTGTATGT